CGGTGAATTTTTTTGAAAATTGGCACATGAATAGGATTTTTCTTTTTCTCGCTGTTAAGAAAAAATCATCGAATTTTAGACATACATTAATGTAATACGCGTCAAAAACGAAAATTGCGAATTCCTCCGTAAATTATGTAGATTTTCTTGTAGCTTTGTCAGTTGAAACTCCTTGTATGTTTACTCTGTTTCCCCCAAAACAAAGAAAATTCACCGTGTAGAAACCTAGAAACACCATCTAGAAGTCAGGTAGGTTAAAGAAACAAGCCAAGCACTTCTATCAGCAGTTGCCATAGCAACAACATTTAGGTTCTGAAAGTGTCTTCCGTACGTAGTCTAAGGCTGTAGGTTTTTATTATTGACCTTCTACCGGGTGCTGTGTGGTAAACATTTGCCAAGGGAGAAATTATTTATGCATATGTAATATCCAAAGCTTTGTGAAATACTATTTAGAGCCACCTTAAGGGCATCGAAACGGTTCTAATCTTAAATTTACAGTATGGAAGATCTGCCGGGAATCTCTGATACGGACCAAGCTGCTTTCTGTGTTGAATTGGCGAAGCGGCTTAACATGCAACGAAGACAAGATCATTTATGCGACATAACTTTGGTGACGAAAGATGGCAAAGAATTCAAAGCTCATAGAAATATGCTTTCTGCAGCAAGCCCGTTCTTCTCCAAGCTTTTTCAGAGCAACATGAAAGAGAATCGAGAAGGGATTGTTCGGTTTGAAGAGATCTCGGGTGCTGTAATGGAAGATATTTTGGAGTTCATCTACACAGGAAGTGTCGAGATAACTGAAGAGAATTCCAAGGATCTCATCGCTGCAGCGAACTATCTTGTCATTCCGGGCTTGAAAACACTCTCTGGGCGAGTTTTAGAACGGCAGTTGTCCAAATCAAATTGCATTTCAACTTTTTATTTTGCTGAGATGCACCAGTGCGACGAACTGATCACCAACAACAGAAAGTTCATCCACGCGAACTTTGCATCTGTGGCAGAAATGGATGAATTCTTAAACTTGGAAGCTAAAGAAGTCGAGAGGTGGATTTCAAGTGACGAAATTTCTGTTGCAGTTGAAGCAGATGTGTTTAATATCGTATTAAAGTGGATCGAACAAAACAAAAGCGAGCGAAAGGCATCGTTTGAACAATTGTTTCGTCACATGCGACTGGCTTCCCTGTCGCGTGACTTCTTAATCGACGTCGTAACAAACAAACTCGTGCAAGGAGATTCTCGNCAGAAATGGATGAATTCTTAAACTTGGAAGCTAAAGAAGTCGAGAGGTGGATTTCAAGTGACGACATTTCCGTTGCTGTTGAAGCAGATGTTTTCAAAATCGTATTAAAGTGGATTGAACAAGACAAAAGCGAGCGAAAAGCATGGTTTGAACAATTGTTTCGTCACGTTCGACTGGCTTTCCTATCGCGTGACTTTTTAACCGATGTCGTGACAAACGAACTCGTGCAAGGAAATTCTCGTTGTTTATGGCTGGCTTCAGATGCTATAAGGCTGACGGCTTTTCCAGAGGAAGAAAATATTTCACAGTCCTCAAGAAAGGGGCTTGAGACCCGCGCCATTGTTGCTTGTGGAGGGAAATACACTTTCTGTTATCTCCCAGAGAAAGATGAATGGAAACGTTTAGCAGACGGGTTGTCAGAGAGAAACGAGTATACTCAAATGATAAACCCCCGTGATCAGTTGTACGCCTTTCCATCTGTTGGCAAGGCAGAGAGGTACGATCCCGTTTTTGATTGTTGGTCTACTCTGGATCATTTGGAGTGGCCCAGTGAAGATCCTGCTAAAGTGACTGTCGTTAGAGGCGAAATCTATGCGATAAAGGTCAACACATCAACGAAAAAATCCACTATCAAAAGATTCAATGTCGAGCGGTGTTCATGGCAGACTGTTCTCTCATCTCATAAGGGCTGCAGGGTACATTCTTGTGTTGTTGCGGCTGGCAATCATCTGTATGTTTGTGGTGGGAGGCTAGAGAATGACTTCGTTAGGAAATCTGAGAGATTTGACACTGCAGAAAACAAATGGGAAGAAATCGCAAACATGCAACAAGCAAGAGCTCGTGCTTTTGGTGTGGCAACTGAAGGAAAGATTTTTTTGGCTGGTGGGAGGCAGCATGCTGGAGGGCTCGGAAAGTGGTTGCAAACATGTGAAATGTACAATATTTCTACTAACGAATGGCAGTCTATTGGAAGTTTGAAAGTTCCTCGCGAAGATGGCAGAATGGTGTGTCTGAAGGGAACTCTCTATGTGCTGGGTGGGACAGATGACTCATACCAAAGTAAACTGAGTGTCGAATACTATGATCCTGCAGAGGACAAGTGGATCGAGAAGACAACCATACCAGTGAAAAGGATCTCCAAGGACAATAACAATACATTCACCGGCTGTGTGCTGAAACTCTCCAAAGGAGTACTAGACAAACTTGATGTTATTAAGGCCCGGTCCAAACGCCGCTCCACTCATGTGCCGAACCAAACTTGATTAAGTTCGACTTTAGAGCGACTTTGGAGCGACGGCTGGTTCAGACGGCNACGGCTTTTCCAGAGGAAGAAAATATTCCACAGTCCTCGAGAAATGGGCTTGAAACCCGCGCCATTGTTGCTTGTAGTAGGAAATACACTTTCTGTTATCTCCCAGATAGAGACGAGTGGAAGCGTTTAGCAGACGGGTTGTCAGAGAGAGACCGGTATACTCAAATGATCAACTACCGTGATCAGTTGTACGCCTTTCGATCTCATGGTAAGGCAGAGAGGTACGATCCCGTTTTTAATTGCTGGTGTACTTTGGGCTTGTCCACCGCATGGTCTGCTAAGGTGGCTGTCGTCAGAGGCGAATTGTATGCGATAGAGGTCAACACAGCAACGGAAAAATCAACTATCAAAAGATACAATATTGAGCGGTGTTCATGGCAGACGGTTTTGTCATCTCACGAGGACTACAGGCATGATTCTTGTGTTGCTGCGGCTGGCAATCATCTGTATGTTTGTGGTGGGTACCTGGCAGGGAAGTACCTTTCGAAGGCTGAGAGATTTGACACTGTGGAAAACAAATGGGAGGAAATCGCAAACATGCAACAAGAGAGNTTCATCTACACAGGAAATGTCGAGGTAACTGAAGAGAATTATTGCGAAGATCTTATCGCTGCAGCGAACTATCTTCTCATTCCGGGCTTGAAAACAGTCTCCGGGCGATTTCTAGAGCGACAGATGTCTGAATCAAATTGCATTTCAACATTTTATTTTGCTGAGAAATACCAGTGCGACGAACTCATAAGTAACAGCAGGAACTTCGTCCACGCAAATTTTGTTTCTGTAACAGAAATGGATGAATTCTTGAACTTGGAACTTAAAGAAGTCGAGAGGTGGATTTCAAGCGACGAAATTGCCATTGCAGTTGAAGGAGATGTGTTGAAAATCGTAGTAAGGTGGATCGAACGAAACAAAAGCGAGCGGAAAGCAACTTTTGAACAATTGTTTCGTCACGTACGACTGGCTTCCCTATCGCGTGACTTTTTAATCGATGTCGTGACAAATGAACTCGTGCAAGAAAACTCTGGTTGTTTATGGCTGGTCTTAGATGCTATAAGGCTGATGGCTTTTCCAGTGGAAGGAAATCTTTCGCAGTCGCCGAGAAAAGGGCTTGATACCCGCGCCATTGTTGCTTGTGGTGGGAAATATACTTTCTGTTATCTTCCAGAGAAAGACGAGTGGAAGCGTTTAGCCGACGGGTTGTCAAAGAGAGACCATCAAACTAAGATGTTAAGCCACCGTGATCAGTTGTACCTCTTCCCATCCCATGGTAAGGTAGAGAGGTATGATCCCGTTGTTAATTGTTGGTGTACTTTGGACTTGTCCGTCACATGGTCTACCGAGGTGGCTGTCGTTAGAGGCCAAATCTATTCTATAGAGGTCAACACATCATCGAAAAAATCCACTATCAAAAGATACGACGTTGAGCGGTGTTCATGGCAGGCGGTTTTGTCATCTCATGAGAACTGCAGGGAAGGTTCTTGTGTTGTTGCGGCTGGCAATCATCTGTATGTTTGTGGTGGGGTCCTGGGAAGCGAGTACTTTTCGAAGGCTGAGAGATTTGACACTGTGGAAAACAAATGGGAGGAAATCGCAAACATGCAACAAGAGAGAGCGTGCGCTTTTGGTGTGGCAAGTGAAGGAAAGATTTTTGTAGCCGGAGGGAGGGATTTTCAAACGTATCTGAAAACATGCGAGATGTTTAACATTTCGACAAACGAATGGCAGTTTATTGGAAGTTTGAATGTTCCTTGCCTAATTGGCAGTATGGTATGTCTGAAAGGAACACTCTATGTGCTGGGTGGAACAGATGGCTCATGGCGAAATGAATTGAGTGTTGAATGCTATGACCCTACACAGAACAAGTGGATCGAGGAGACAATCATACCAGTGAAAAGGATCTCCAAAGACAATAATGATTCATTCACCGGCTGTGTTCTGAAACTCTCCAAAGGAGTACTAGACAAACTTAATGTTATTAAGGATTAGTGAAACAGCAAAAAGAGATCTGGTCGTCGGGAAGAAAAACGAAATTCAATATCCTTTACTTTTGCTCATATTCGCGAGAGAAAACGTTCTCCTCTGCCGGCCTACGAGTTTTTTCGGTTGATTTCATCAGCACTGAATTATGATGAAGATGTAATATTGAACCCAGACCTCCTACGAGAAGGCCGAATGGAGACTAAGACAGAGTGAAATCTGGCTACGTCATAGGATCAGTTTAACAGTTTTCAAACATTTTATAGGAAAGTTTTGTTTTAAATCTTGTATTTTCCGCGACCACCGCACAGTAGAATTATGAATATATTTGCATGGTATCCATAGTTTTCAGATTGTTTTACATTTAGTTGAAACTCACGTAACAAAATTCTTACCTATGTTGGAAGCGAAAACTAGAATTGTCTGATGTTGACTTGCCGAGAGATCGATGATATTTAGTGTCCTTCAGCTCATGGTAAGAAGACAGGTACAACTCTGTTTCAAAGCAACAGTGCCTGCTCAAGATTATCACCTGTCATGCCCAGACCTTTTACTTTTACGGTCAGTGGCACTGAACGAGCGAGGGCTCTGGAAACGAGATTGGCTGTAAATTGAGTTTATAAAATTTTACAAGAGAAATTAATATGGTGTAGGAATATAATTTTTCACGTTGTTATTGTAAGATAGTTTTGTGCTGGTATGTAGATTCGTTGGTATGCAGATTACGTAATTATGCTTATAAGTTAATATTTAAGGAGTTTGTTCGTTAGGAGTTGTTACTTCGACGGCATCTCCGCTTTTGATCAGCTCATTTTGGAAATTTTGTTTTAGTAAATTTCCGTGTTTTTGTTTACTACGTTTATTGCGGTAATAACTATCCTAGGGCAATTTATATCTGATCAATAAACGAGATGCCCCCTCCTATATGACTGGTGTTTTCTTACTTATACTAAGTTAGAAATTATTTTGTTTTCGTTTCACTGCAGCGTAATTAGACAACAAGTTTAATTACCACTTGTCATGCCCAGAGCTCTTAGAAGCGCAAACGTTGTCAATCCCAAATAAACTAAAGCTTGAATGTGTCTGACTGAGGCTGATAGGCGGCAAAGAAGATGTGTTTGTGTGTAAAATGTTCAACGTGGATGAAAACTGTCTGAAAGAAAAACGAAACGTAATACAATTTTCATTATGTAAATAACTAAAAAAAAATATTAAAGCACACCTATATCTAATCATTCAAAAATGTCGAAAGGAATTCCAAAAAGCTGCAAGAATCGCGTTTTGTGGACACCGCATGAATTCATTTTAATCATTGAGCGTTATTAATTCTTTGTAACAAATCGTCCCTGTCTTAGTTAGTTAAGCTGAATTCTGTGGGAGGCATTGGAATAATTTTACATGTAATAGTGATCGCTTTAGGTTTAAACACACTAAGTGGTGCTAAGATAGGAATTGGAACCCAGAAAGGAAATGACCATAACTCCCGTCCGGCTTTCCTTTAGGATCACCACCCTCGCCTTGGAGAGAGGTGCAAGACAATTTATTCTCCCTGTGCCTCTCTCCACCAAGGTGTATCAATGGGGAAAACGACGAATTTAATACTGGGAGGAACGCTACGATGGACTAGAACACCTCCAGAGGGAATAGAAATAGTCCTGGTCGCTTCATGCTACAGAAACCGAGATAACCTCCGTCCTGATCGGCAACTTTGCTCGTACGCAGACCTAACGTTCTACCTTTTTATTTCTCCCCTGAGAGAAATTCGACACTGTGGAAAGCAAACTAGCCTGTGTCAAGGGAAGAGGAAAGGTGAGGGAGTTAATCCCCCATATTGACCTTATCCCTTACTGTAAATTATTTTTAGATATAGAATCCCGTCTACCCGTTCCCATGTGTTCTTGGTCCTTGGTTTTAGCAAATTGCGCGAGTGATGAGCTTAAATTATGCCCAAAGTGTACTGCCAATGATCATTGTTTTGTTAAGTTTTTTATAGCGAACAGTGAAATGATTTATATGGTTTAAATGAAAGGCGGTTGAAAAATTACTTTATATTATAAGATTCCAATAAAGGAAAACACAGAGCGAGAAACCAATTA